AGCCTTGCTCAAACCGTGTTCTTACTCGCTTGCTTCTTCACGTGTTCCTCTTTTCAATTCTCCTCCTTCCCAATTCCAAAAACACCCTTAATACCCCAAAAATACATTTTATTCCAAATAAATATAATTCTCTTAATTCTTTTAATTCAAAAATCCAATTAATAATATTTTCTCATTTATATTAATATTAGCAATAATAGTGATAATAATTAATAATAATTTTTACATTACTATCAATTATCATATTTTATCACAATTTATTAATATTATGAGCTCTTGACCTTCCACAATAATTCTCAAAATACCCCCGCGAATAAAATAATCACAGAAACCAAAAATAATTAAAATGGGCGTTACAGTGATCCTACATCTCGCCCAATTCATACGAATTTTCACCAACTCAAACATCTTATCTATACCAACTCCATTTCATCACTACACCTAATGCTTTTTGAACCTACCAATCTCACAACTAACACCAAACAACATAATTCCTTGGTTTTGGGAGATTTTACCCCTAACATTAACCCATAACTTTCCAAACTCTTACAGAAATACCCAACCATTTTTCACTCCCAAAACTGGCCTTCCCCCTCCTAGACCCCATGACCATCACATTAACCTTCTTCCTGACACACCGCCTATCAATGTGAAGCCTTATCGGTACCCACATGCACAAAAAGATGCTATGACTTCCCTTATTGAGGATATGTTAAGAGAGGGTACCATTGTCCCTAGTAACAACCTTGCTTCCTCTCCGGTCTTACTAGTTAAAAAGAAAGATGGAACATGGTGGTTTTGTGTGGATTACCACGCTCTCAATGCAGTTACAATGAAAAACAGATTTCACATATCCACTATAGATGAACTCTTAGATGAACTTAGCTCAGCCAAAGTTTTCACCAAATTAGACTTACGCTCAGGTTACCACAAAATTTGAGTTGCACAGAAGATACACATAAGACAATTTTTCGGACTTTCGATGGACATTATGAGTTTCTTGTAATGCCCTTTGGGTTGACAAACGCCCCTTCGACTTTTCAGTAGGCGATGAATGATCTTTTGAGACCTTACTTGCGCAAATTTGTTTTAGTTTCTTTTATGACATTCTGATTTACAATGCTAATTTCAATGACCATCTTAGTTATTTGTAGGTTGTTTTTGAGTTGTTACAGTCCAATGTCTATGTTGTAAAATTATCAAAGTGTTTTTTTTCTTCTGTTGATATGGTTCATTATTTAGGACATGTGATTTCTATGGGTACTGTGCACCTGATCTTGACAAGGTTAAGGCCATTTTGGACTGGCCCCAACCACGTTCACTCATGGCACTCCACAGAGTTTTGGGACTTACTGGATTTTATCGTCGTTTTGTTCGACAATACGCCTCTCTCGCAGCTCCCCTCATTGATTTATTGCGTTCCACTAAATTTGTTTGGGGTACAGATGAGGTCGAAGCCATTACATAATTACAAAGAAAAATGACTGACATGTCAGTATTAGCTTTTCCTAAAATTTACAAAGAAATTCATTGTCGAAACAGATGCTTTAGGAATAACCATTGGTGCGATCTTGTCCCAAGATGGTAATCCCATTGCTTTCTTCAGTAAGAAGATGTGTCCTAGGATGCAAGCTGCCTCTGTTCATGTCCGTGAAATGTTTGCTATTACAGAAGCAGTAAAGAAATGGCGTCAATATTTACTAGGTTAGCAATTTCATATCTACACAGTTCAAAAAAGTCTCTGCAATATGTTACTCTAGAAAATCCAAACACCAGAACAACAAAAATGGGAAGCCAAATTGCAAGGGTTCAATTTTGAATTTTTTTACAAACCTAACAAATCAAATCAAGAAGTTGATGTACTGAGTCGAAAATATTCCTATGATGAGCCATTATTGTTCTCCCTCTCCTCTCTAATTCCAAATCTCTGACCTCTTTGCGTGAGTTTTATACAAAAGACACAACAACACAAAAACTAGTTATTCAACTCATTCACAATAGCACTGACCATAAATCTTACAAGTTTTCAAAGGGATTATTATTCTACAAAGAGCGACTTTTCATACCTGATATTCAGGGTCTGTGCCAAAGTGTTCTCCACGAGCTCCATGCCACACCAACAGCTGGTCATTTTGGTGTCAAAGCCACCCTTGTTAGAGTATCTGCTTCTTTTTCTTGGTCAGGTATCTACAAAGAGGTAAAACACATGGTTAAACATTGTGATGTCTGTCAACACAACAAGTACTTAACCCAGAAGAAAAAGGGATTACTCTAACCTTTTCCTATTCCTAATCAGGTTTGGGAAGACATAACTATGGATTTTATCACACACTTACCCAACTCTTTTGGTCACACTATTATTTGGTTCATCTGTGATCAACTCATAAAATCCGTTCACGCCATCGCCTTACCAACCAAGTTCACCGCCAAAGATCTTGTAGCTCGTTTTTTGTTTGAGATTGCTCAACTTCACGGGCTTCCTAAGTCCATCGTCTCTTATCGAAACCTTTTGTTCCTATATATCATCCTGAAACCGACGGTCAAACAGAGGTGGTAATTAGATCTGTAGAGACATACCTTAGATGTTTTGCAAATGCTCAGCCTCGTTAGTGGTATAAACTTTTACATCTTGTTGAGTTTTGGTATAACACCTTTTTCCACACTGCCATTCAGATGACGCCGTTCCGAGCACATTACGGTCGATATCCACCTAATATTCATGATTACTTGGCCGGAACCGTTGAAGAAAAGTCCCTTGATGATTCCCTGCTACAAAGACATAATATCATTTTTCAGTTAAAAGACAACTTAAAGAAAAGCAGAATACACATGGAGGAACAAGCTACCAAAAAGAGAGTGGATTTCACCTTCAATCAATGAGATCTGGTTCTCTTGAAGTTACAGCCTTACAGACAGCAAACAGTTAGCAAAAGAGCATCTCAGAAGTTAGCTAATCGATTTTTTGGTCCATTCCAAGTTAGCAAACGAGTAGGTGTTGTGGCTCACATGCTCGATCTTCCTTCTTCTTCTCGTATACACCCAGTTTTTCATGTCTCTCTGTTGAAACCTTATTATGGCAACACTTTGCATGCTAATTTTCTTCCTCATCCTCCTAAAAAAGACCAACTTTTTGTGATAATGAAGGTGATTCTCCAGAAACCGTTCAATCAAACCTTATATTAGTGTCAGAAACTCACTACGTGCATTCCAAAGGTGGACACAAAAGAGCATTATTTCACTAAGGTTTTTTTACATAAGGCAGAAAAGAATACTAAGGAGAAAGAGAGAGACGGGAGAAAAAAAAAGACTTAACCACACAAAAGAAAATGTTTAATGGCTTTATGCATAACTAGGACACACTTCAAGCCAAGGGAGTGAGAGAAATTGTAAACTCCAAGTCAACAACTTAATTTATTTAAACTACTTCCCCATGTGACAAGGGGTCCACGTGCATGCTCTTATCCATTCCAAAGCTACGTTTTTTATTTTCCCATATAACACACGACTCGAGAAAGTGATATCCCTTCACACCCCATACTTACCCATGTTCAAAGCGCCACGTGTGCAACTGCAGTTGTTCCACTGGCCCCCATATCGTCTGCCCTTCTGTCCATTCTAGATTTTCTGAACCCACCCACGTGCTTCACAACACCTAGTCCAACACTACTTTCTCCCTATGCTAATCCCACTCCTTTCACAAAACCTCCCACACCGAACGACCCATTTTTTCACCACCCAGCCCACTCATTCCTATTTTTGGCCCACAAGAAATCTCTCCTAATCCCACTCTTTCATTGGACCTTTCAATCCTGGCCCATATCCTTTCACCTCCAATATTGTCTCAAATATGAACCTTGAGGACAAGGTTCTTAATTGACCAATGAGTATTGATAAGAAAATTACAAAGCCCATTAAAGAAAGGAAGGAACCCATTTGGCTTAAGGACTTTTATCATTAAAAGAGAGGTTCTTTTAGTAGTATGCATTATTTTATTTTTGAGTTTTTTCTTGTGTTTTATTTGGCCCACGACCCAATTAGTATTTTTTACCCTAGTTATTTATATGTAAGTTCTTAGAAGTTTGAGTTTTAATGAAAGATATGAAATTTTATCTTATGTTTTTTTTATGCAACTTAAGATTCTAATCTTAACCTAACTAAGTCTATCACAATATCTTTATATTTTTTATACTTTTCTTAAAATCTAAAGTGATTATGCAATTGCTCAAGAGATATGTCCTTTTATGCTTCATGGTCCTTTTGATATCTTTCCGTGAAAGTGGAAAATTATCGATTATGAAAAATATAATGATAGTATCATTCATTTGCATTTTATGTTGTTTGTAATTATTTATAATACATTCAATTTTATATAATTGTTTCATAACATAGTTTTATAATTATTGAAATGGATAAGATCATTTCTTACTTGTAATATTATCTTGCATGTATATTGATTCTAGTTTATCTCATAAATATTTAGCGGATGAACTACTTTGATAAATATCAAATAAATAGTATAATATTCAGAACATCTTTAACGGTGAAAACTTAATGAATTTCTAATCTTTAAGTTCTGTTGCTTATTTTTTTTTATCTATTTGAGTATGATTATGTGACAATACTAATCTCTTAAATTTAAAGAATGAAATTTACGGAAAGAATCTCAAAATTGGAAAACTTAACATTAAATATTATTATTTTTAAATGAATTCAATTGAAAAGTAGTTATTATAATATAGTACAAATAAAATAGTATAAATTGGTGGAATCAAATATATATTACTTATTTATTTTATCGATGGAGCAAAAGTAATTGAAATTGCTTAGAGATTTAGACTATATGACACAAGCAACCAAATTTTTTTCTCTCCAATTGGATGCTCTCAACAGCAACATACACTAGGCCGAATGATCTTTTATTGCAACATCAACCCAATGTATTCATATAATCAATACAAATTACAATGTATCAAAGAAATATTTTTGTAATGCATTATAGATCAATGCGTTTCAGGCTTTGAACCAATAGCAAAAAACTCAACTATAACTTCTAAAGGCATACCCTTTGTTTCAGGAACTTTCAAGTAAATAAAAATCCAAGATGCAATGCAACCAGCAACAAACAATCCAAACACACCAGTAATACCAAGGAATTGAAGCAAGAATGGAAACAAGGAAGTGATGATCAACGTAGATATCCAATATGTAAGTGAACATATTGAAATGCATGATCCACGTACACTTGTTGGAAATATTTCTGAACATATAATGTTTGGTATTACTCCATAGCCCATGCAGAATATGCTTTCATATACTATGGCACATATTGCTGTTAATGCTGCATTTAGGGTTGAACTTAGGTGAAATAAGTCTTTGAGTATTAGTGTCATGAGAGATAGTATTATAATTGGTATTGTGTATAGCAATATTGACCTGCATATTAGGAAATAAATAATCAAATGTATCAAAGAGAAGCACAAATAATGGACAAGCTATATATTGCACTATGACCTATAAACACGGGCTTAAACATGGACACCTGACACGATACTGATACGTTGATAGTAGTAATATTTTAAGAAAGTAGAGTGATTAAATATAAAAGAAAACTGCTCAGAGGCGTCGGCCCAAAGCGGCCGCTAACATGCATAAAACGGACGCCAGTATGTTAGCGTCGGATTAATGTTAGTGTCGTGGCTGACGCCTTTTAGCTTGATGCTACTATTAGCGTCCAGCAGACTCTAGTTACCGTCCATCCAAGGAGACGTTTCTGTGAAGCTAAAAACATAGATCTGAAAGCGGACACTACTAGCTTCGGCTTTTTGAGACACTTATTGTGAAGCTAAAAGCATGTGTTGAGTCGTGTGAGACATTGGCACATGTCAAACACTAAACACGTCTTCAATATTAAGTTTGCATAAGACGTGGATACAATACTAAAAGAAAATCCAATCTAGTTTAAACATACCTCCTGCCTGTTATATCCATCAAACTCATGGAAAGAGCTATACAAGGAAGCATGCAGAATGTTGTTATGACATTTACAAATATAGAAGAAGATGCTGCACTAATCCCTAAATCTGACAAAAGTGCTCCAACTCCTGCTTGGTCAAGAATTTGAGGAGCATAGTACACAAATCCACTTATACCAGAAATCTGCAACATACATTATATTTTCAGATAGTCAAATCTTATGCAAAAAAGTAGTTTCTGTTTCAGCTAGGACTATATATACCTGCTGAAGAACTTGAAGTCCTATTCCAACAATTAATGCTCTCTTTACACCTGGTTCTAACAAATCTTCCCAACTTCTACGTTTCGGAATAACTTCTGCTTTAATCTTCGTATCCTTATTACTAAGAATTGAATCACAAATAAGTGCGGCTGCTTGAAAAGTTTCACCACCTTGATCTGCATGCAAGTCATGACAAGAAGTTGCAGCAGAACCTTGCAGCGACACTGCTCTAGAATCTGCATGCAGATAAACCCTTTGCAATCCTCCTTCACCATTAGCCGCTTCAATTGATTTATAAGCCAATTGCCAACCTCCACCAATGTCCGTGTTCTTCGTTATTTCTCCAGAACTACCTTGAGGTGGAAGTAATGCAGCATGCAGGTTGTAACTATCATGATCTCCCATATGACTCATACTCGACATTTTTGAAATACTTTCATGCATGCTTTCAAATATGTTGACAATATTGTCCTTGATATTGGAAGAAGCAGCGGAAAACATGCTTCCCTCGGGCGTTAACACGCTTCCTTGTCCGGTTACTTGTTGTGCAATCATTGAAACTTGTCCTTGATTAGGTCCATAAAGCTTTATACAATCTCTCCCTGCTTCCTTGCTTGAAATGAGTTCACTTCCTGGTGTAACTATGTATTCTTCTACCATGATGGATTCACCTCCAGGATTCAATCCCTCAGCTAACAAAGCTAATTCTCCTATGAATCAAAGGAAACTACAATTCAGTAATGATGTTGAAAACATTAATGAGCCCTATTTAGTATCTCACCTGAAACATCTTCAACGCAGCGAATTCTTTGCAGAACTCTCTTAGCTTCGGATATTCTACCTTTACTTACAAGCCAAGGAGGAGATTCAGGGAGGTAAAACACGGCGAGAAAAAAATAAGCAACAGAATGAACAGAAACAATACTTAGCATCCCTCGCCAACTCGGCGTATTCATCAAGGAAATAGCGAAAACCAAGAGATAAGCCAAAAACATTCCCATAGAACATGAAAGCTGAGGGAGAGTGTTGAGTAAGCCTCTGATATCAGGCGGTGCTATCTCAGATATGTAAAGAGGAGTTATAGTCATGGCTAATGCAATTGCAATTCCACTCAATATCCTTGAAAATAGAATCACAGGAACGTTCGGAGCCCACAACATGACCAAACCACTAAAAAAATACATGAGAGATGATGTTATTAACATCGGACGCCTTCCGAACATATCGGAAACTGTGCCGGAGAATATTGTTACGATTGTTCCGGTGAGAAATGACATGGACACTATTAGTCCTTCAAGTGATGGATCAGTTTCTAAGTGGAATTCCTGTTTTATGTATCTCATTCCACCTGCAGAAACATATCTTAGCAATGACAATACTCAAAGATAGATGATAAAAAAGATGTCTTAAGAAACACACACACCTGCAATGGTTGAACTGTCCCATCCAAACAACAGATTCCCAAGTGTAGCAGCAGTTGCAACCATAATAACCTCCCTCATGATTGTTCTTGGTTAATAATGTAGCAAAAGAACCAAAACTAGAACACAATTTTGATTTTCTTGTATGTTCTCAAACAAAAACTACATAGTTCTACAACACTGTATGCTAATACCATGCTTATTTTAGTTAACTTTCTTCATATGTGTACATCATACATTAATTTGTTCATGTGTCACATATCTATTTTCTGGCAATGAAGTTGTTAAAGTGAGATTTTTTTTTGTTGATTAGTTAAAAGTCCATAGAACAATGGCAACCCAAATTTCTTAGCGAAATCACTGAAAATTCCTGTGAGTGAGGTGAAGCCACGAATATGTTTTGCTATTTTTGAACACAAAGGTAGTAGAGATTATCAAATATAATAGGAGTAAAACATGGCTTGCCACGAATAATTACTTTTTTCTTTATAGTTTCTTTAATATTAAATCTCATCTATAATGATACATATGTTAGTATTATTTATAAATTATATTTATAAAATATCTATGAAAATATTTTATAAAAAATATTTCAAATGATTATACCAAATTGAGAGAGGAGAAATTCAAGTTAGAAAAATTTAGAAATACAAAGGGAGAGATTCTTATAATTCATTGCTTTAAGAATTGAAAGATTTTAAGAGATATATTAGACGATTGTAAAACACTTTTAAATATATTGTGTTTGTGGGACTTGAAAGACTATTTTCTTATAACTCATCTTATAATCTTATAACCTCTTGTATGAGCTCTTGAGATATAGAGAATCAAAGAGATAATATCTCTCCATAGTAAATCGTTTTGATCAAAATCGGTAAACAAATTATGTACGTGTACTCATCTTTATTTCTTCTTCTTCTTCTTCTTCTTCTTTACAACAACAACATAGTAGAGCAAATGAGTTAAGCTTACAAGTAAGCATTATGGGTTCTAAATGAGATATTGAGAATTTATCCAAAGATAAGGATTTTGGGTTGTGAAAAGTGAATATGCAAAGAATCTTAATTAAAAAAAATGTTCATAAGTATTGAAGGGTGAAGCATTGATGCTGACACACCTAACACAAGAGAAAATCAAGATGGTGGATAAGAGTAAGAATGTCATTATCTTGTGTCTTAGAGATAAATTCCTAAGGAAAGTCACAAGGGAGAAGAACACGATTGAGATATGAGTCAAGATTGAATAATGTATATGACCAAGTTCTTGACTCGCAGATTATGTTTGAAACAACAACTTTACTCATTTCTAATTGTAGAGAACAAATTTATTATGGAGAAACTTCACAAGATCATTGATGCAAATAATTAAGGTGAAAATTGATGATAAAGATAAGTATTTACTCTTATTTATCTCATTACCCATATTATTTAAGAATTTCAAGGATTTTTTTCTTTACGATAAAGAAGGTAATATCACATTGGATGAAGTTCGTACGTTTGTAAGGCCAATGCACACTTAAGGATGAAAAATTTTAAAGGTTGACAGTAGTGGTGAAGGCTTAAGTGTCTTAAGAGGAATGAATGAGAATAAAGGAAATAAAAAGGAAAAGAGATCTAGGTCAAATTCCAAGTCCAACGAATTTGATAAGTAGAAGTTAAAATAGATCACTTGACACAAAATCGATCACTTCAAGAAGGATTGTTCTGAGAGAGAGGGGGGGGGGAGAGATCATGTTCAATTTTTTTTCCTCAGATGGGGATGATTAATAGAGAGTTGGTGCACTAGTAGTTACAATGTTTTATATGTTCTATAGCTTGTAAGTTCAGAGTATGCCTAAGACGGGGGGGGGGGGGGGGGGGGGGGGGTGAATTAGGCTTTAGAAAATTTTTCCGGTTTTTTGAGATTCTTGAATTTTACTTGGTTATGTTCTTGATGAAGAAAGCAGTAAAAAGCAGAATGAAAATGGACACAGAGATTTATAGTGGTTCCCTTCACAATCCGAAGGTACTCCACTCCCCTTTCCACATGAAAGAGAGTTTTTACTATAGTTTTAGAATGTACAACCTATCACACCATCAACCGATGAGGCCTACTATCTAACGACTATTCAACAACTAGTGTGCAAGAACAATCCTCTTGCAAGCACTAACCCTTGTGTCCAACAATCCTGGATCACAAGTCACAATAGAAATAATTCTGTGATTCTTTGATTTGAGAGTGATAATAATAATATCAATACAATGATTGATCTTCTCCTTTTGATCAAAATTCACTTTTCAATATCAATACAAGTGTTCAAAAAATTCTGGATATGAAATGGTATGAACAGTATGAACACTTTTTGAAATATTTGAAAATATTTGAAAAATAGTGAATTTTATTGAATGATCATTTTGAAAATTATTGGAGGTGTTTTTCAATTTGAAATTTCCAGAATTTATATGAGTCAAAACACCATTTCAAAAAGGTATAATTGAATAAGAATCAAATAATGAAAAGGTATAACAATCAAACAAGATTTGAATTTTAAAAGAAACAATTTTTCAAAATTCGTTCAGTGTTAATCGATTAAACATATAGGTTAATCGGTTAACACTTGAATGTTAGCCCTGAGAATTTAAAATTTGAGGCAGTTAACCGATTAACCTATATGGTTAATCGGTTAACACTGTTAAAACTCAGAAAAATACTTAAGTTTAAAAGTGTTATACCAGTTCCAAAATATTTTTAAACCATGCATATGCAATATGTTGATATGATGAATTATTTGAACACTTGTATATCAATTAAAAGAGTGAGTTTTGATATACCAAAGTCTTGTGTCCAAGTCTTGAAAATTGTACGATCATTTGCACATGAAGCTTGATTTGTATGACAACATTCCATTGATGATATGCTTACACCTTTTGCTTTTTGAGAAGAGTTCAGAATAGAGAAGCTTCTGGTTTCAACTTCAGTGTATATACCTCCACGGGTATATAGTGCAAGCAGTTTCTCAGTACATATACCCCCACGGGTATATAGTGTAAGTATCTTGATCAATTTGAAAGCTTGACTTTTTGCAAACATAGAATGAGCTTAAGTCTTGTTGACATCATCAAAACCTTGAGATTGAAATATGCTTCTACATTCTCCCCCTTTTTGATGATGACAATCAAATGAGTCTGTGCGATATCTTTGACAATGTTTCATTCCGTTCTTGGTTTTCTTCTCCCCCTATGTCCAGCAACTCCCCCTATCTAAATAGAGGCAAAAATGATGCACAGAGAGATATTAGAAAGACAAACTCTTCTCCCCCTTTGTCATTAGCAAAAAGGAAGGAGCTTTCAAACCAAACTAAGCAATATCGGCATACATGACAGCATATAATCAAGCACGGCATAATAGATTGAAATAAAAATGCAACACAAAAAAATGCAGCAAACATTGTACGGTTACAAACGAAATTAACAACTTAACAACTTAAATATAATCCGGAAAGAAAAGTAATATAAACAACAGCAACACATATTTTCTAAATATCTTGATCGGACATATCCTCATCTTCTGCTTCCTCTTCTTCACTACCTTCACCTTCTTCATCCTCTTCGTCAACGGTGCCGGTGTTGGAATACTGGGAGGTAAGGATAAGGTTGCAAAGTGAAGCAATGGCCCGAGAGGTTTCTCGATGTTGGTTCATCATAGTGGTGTAGAGGAACTCGTTTGTGATACCTCCTTCGGGAATGGGATAGGCTTGGTTGGAAGCTGATCCTTCGCCCGCATACTTATATGTGCCGTCAACGTCTTTAATTATTCCGGTGTTCTTCACAATGGTGATTTCATTGATCTCGTTGGTTGTCGATTTCATTTTGGTAGATGGTTCCCAGTTAAGATCCAATTCTGTCAACTCAAGGATTCTAGAAACCAGCCTTGCATATGAAAGTCTTGTCGAGAGAGAAAGCTACTGTTGAAGATGGTACATGATCGTAAGAACCAGTTCACCCTGATCTTGTTCTTGATTGCGAATAAGAGTTACATTTCCAAATTGTTGATCTGAGCATGATTTGAATCCTTTGGAATCAGAACGTAGCAGATTACATAATGCAGCATCCGGTCAGAAACCGTCAGATTCTTCGCATAACATAACATGCGAGCAGTCCGTTGGTTTGCTACAACAGTTTCCTTCGGGAACCTGCAGATTTGATAGTAATATTCCATCTTGTCATAGTTTGACCACGGCCCTTCCACATGGTTAACCCCTTTCCTTTTGTAAATCCCTTTTCACATAAGAAATTTCTAAGGTGGTCATACCATGCTCTTGGTGCTTGTTTTAATCCGTAGAGTGCCTTCTTCAGCTTGTAAACATGCGAGGGATTCTTGAAGTCTTCAAAACCGGAGGTTGTTTGACGTAGAATTCTTCATTGATGTATCCATTTAGGAAAGCGCTTTTGACATCCATCTGGAACAACTGAAAATTCATAGAACAAGCATAAGCAAGTAATAATCTAATTGCTTCTAACCGTGCTACCGGAGCGAACGTTTCATCAAAATCAATTCCTTCCTCCTTGTTGTAGCCTTGTGCGACCAATCTTGCTTTGTTACGAACTATGATTTCATTCTCGTCAAGTTTGTTCTTGAACACCCATCTTGTTCCTATGATGTACTTGTTGTCCGGTCTTGGTACAAGACTCCAAACTTGATTCCTTTCGAATTGGTTGAGTTCTTCTTGCATCGCTACAATCCATTGGTCGTCGCCTAAGGCTTCATCAATCTTGGTTGGTTCAATTTGAGACACAAAAGCCATGTTGAGACAAGCATCCTTAAGATTTAGTCGAGTTGCAACGCCTTGGCTAATATCACCAATAACTTTATCTATCGGGTGATCTCTATGAGTTCTCCATTCCTTCGAAAGATCTTGATGTTCTTCAATGATTTGAGTGACATCTTCTTGTGGTATTGCTTGATCCTTTGAAGTCTCTTCTTGTTGTTGTGAAGAACCTACTATATCATCATCATCACCCACAATAATATTATCCTCTTTCGAGGGGTTAGTCTCATCAAAAGAAACATGAATGGATTCTTCAATAGTAAGAGTTCTTTTA